GACAAGCTCCAGTATGTTTCTGTGAATAATTCCATTTCTCCTACCCTACCCATCAACACTGGTGTTCCTCAGGGCAGCATACCTGGCCCTCTCCTCTTTCTCATCTACATTAATGAACTTCCACATGCCTTTCAACACCTCAAACTAATTCTATTTGCTGATGACACAACCTTCATTTTCTCCAGTCCTGACCCTCTTGCTCTAAATGTCACAGTGAATACTGAACTAAATAAAGTCCATCTTTGTCTATCTGCTAGCTCACTCACCCTTAACATTGATAAAACTTTCTATATTTTGTTTGGTAATAAATCCTTAAATCAAACTAATCTAAGAATAAACAATATCCAAATTAGTAATAGAGTAGATGGCAAATTCCTTGGCACTCTCATCGATAACAAGCTGAATTTTCAGGGGCACATTCTAAATATATAAAAAACCAGCGTCGAATGTAATGAAACGCCATTTTCTGGGCGAGACCCGGAGGCTCCCTGGAGCTATCCCAGGCTGATATGTTAACACTTTTGCGCATCAGTTACGCGAGCCAGCGTAACCAATTTTTCTTCCGAGTGTGCACAAGGGACAAGCTCACGAGTCGCGAGAAAAAATATTTGTATAAAATCCATTTTCTATCCGATCGACTTGGGGATAGTTTCAAAATGTGCGCCATGAAATTCCCGTTCTCCCCAATAGGCCTCATGGTATCCCGGCCTATGCGATCACGTGGTCGGCCCATTGTTTTGTCGACACGAGGAGTGCCCGCACTGCTCTCCCCTCGCGCGCCAAACTTGATCGGTTTTATGCATTTATTTCCATTCCCGTGTGTTTGTGACCCATTATATACATTTACCATGGATCCTGGTCAAGGCCCAAGCAGTGGTATGCGTAAAGGAGCGAAGACGTCTGCCAAAGAAGACAAGATAAGTATGATTTACGAAAAGGTATCATGGGGTGATGCTCTCACCCTCCAAGATTCCTGGCCTTGTTGTAGCATTATCGGACGTTGATGATGATATTGAAGGGGATGAACCTGATTGTGATAATTTCCAAGGCGATAATGAAACTAGTGAGTCAGGAGAATATGATGTCTACACATGTGAGGAGTTGAGTATGACAGAGTGAGGATGAGAGTGAAGAAGATCTACCAGCCCCGCCCCAGATAGACATCTGCTATTTGAGAAATTATTTATGTTATTGGAACAACTCCAGCGTGAGTGAGTGGATGGGGTCTAATCCCTGTACACACAGCACCATGCGTTTCTTGTTTCATTTCGTCGCCACAGTTCAGTGACTACAGCTTCGAAATAATAAAATTAATAAATCAGTTCTAAAATAAGTTTTTTATATCTCTTATTATCCTAATAATGTTACTAAACTAAATATATAACCTAAAAATATATATTATGATGTAAATCCAATATTTGAGATAAATTTATATTACTGGATCTGGCTTAAACATCAGCCAACAGGAGGGTGTATAGACCTAGCCTGCGTTCATACAGTAGGCATCCACTGCCGTTAGCTTTGTCTGCGTGCGAGTAACGTGTTTGTCCGCCGGTGAAAGAATAATCGTGGAATTTACCATTTTTTTTTACTACAGCTTTATTAATACACAACAAGATGTCTCAAGGGCTTGCTAATTGTGCTGTATCTACAAAGAGGAAGAGATGATTTTTATCCATTGAGCAGAAATTAGACATGATAGAGAAACATGAACGTGGCTACTCTGTTACTAGGCTGGCAGCAGAATTTAATGTCGGGAAAAGTATCGTGTGTGATAGCAAGAGACAGAAAGATGATATTAGAAGTCCCTTGCTTCAAGTGATAGTGGTGCATTAAATAAAAGGAAAACAATAAAAGGTTCTACAAATACAAATTTGGACGAAGCTGTGTATAAATGGTTTAACTAGGAGCGCTCTGTGGGGATGCCACTTGGCAGCGACACCATTAAGACAGCAGCCGATAAATTTGCACAAAAGATGAACATTCCAGATTTTCGAGCAACTGAAGGATGGTTGCAAAGATTTTAGAATAGGCATAATATTAAGAACAGGAAAGTTTGTGGAGAATCATTAAGGGCAGATACAGATTCTGTCGAGCCACTTAAGCGTAAATTAAATGATTACATAATAAATGATCTAAGGTGTTTTTAGGTATACAATGCCGATGAAACAGGCTTTAATTGGAAATGCTTGCAGAGCAACACTTTGGCATCTAGACTAGATGAGTGTTCCTGGCTGTAAGGTAAACAAAAAAAAAGTTTCTGCCATGCTGTGTGCAAATGCAGACGGAAGTCACAGAACAAAGTCCGCCATTGTGGGGAAGTAAAAAAACCAACGTTCTTTGAAAAATTTAATGAACAAGCTACCTGTGGTCTACTACAACTCTAAAACAACTTGGTTTACTGGAGATATTTTTGTAGACTGGTTCAAAAACCATTTTTGCAAAGAAGTAAGAGATTTTCAGATAAAGAAGTGTGGAGTGAGACGGAATGATGTCAAGGTATTACTCTTGGTTGACAATGCCCCAGCTCACGTAGGGCTTGACACATTAGCGTAACATGATGGACGCATTAAATGTATGGCCTTCCCTCCAAATACCACCTCTCTGATCCAGCCAATGGATATGGGTGTTATATATGCAATGAAAAGGCTTTACAAACGAGCAATGAATAAAGAAATCATGGTGGTGTTTGAGTCAGATGAAGACAAAAGACAAGGAACCGGTTCGCAAGGTCAAGCAACACTGGAATGTTACAAAAAAATACTCAATTAAGGAAGCCATTTACAACTGAGCTAAAGTTTGGGATGAATTTAAAGAGTCAACATTAAGAAATTGTTGGAAAAAATTCCTGTTGCTTGATCATGCTGATGAAGTGACTGAGGAAGAAATGGATTTTGAAGGATTTTCAAATGATATTTATCAAGAAGTGTGTGCCGCTGGTGAGGTGGAGTTGACGCTGAACAATGTGGAGGAGTGGTTAGATATTGATGCAGTCGATCCACCCCTCGGTCATTTAACAGATGATAAGATTATACAAAATGTTACTGGCACAGTTGACGATGATGGAGAGGATGAGGAGGATAAGAATGATAGCAGTTTACAATCTGCTACGTGTGCCGACGCATTGTTCCATGTTGAAAAACTCCTTGATATTGTTTCACAAACTGACAATCCAGAGCTACCAGGCTTTTATCAACACCTAAGGATGATGAAAGATATTTATCTCAAGGACATGACGAAAAGAAGGAAACAAACAAAAATGAGTCAATATTTTTCACGAACTAGCAGAAAATCAACCAGCATAGCCGTACCCAACACTAGCACAGCCGTACCCAGCACCAGCACAGCCGTACCCAGGACCAGCACACCCGTTCCCAGCACCAGCACAGCCGTACCCAGCACCAGCACAGCCGTACCCAGCACCAGCACAGCCGTACCCAGCACCAGCACAGCCGTACCCAGCATCAGCACAGCCGTACCCAGCATCAGCACAGAAGCAGCTGAAGCCAACACAGCAGAAGCGAGCACCAGCAAAGCTGATGCAAACATCTAAAAACATTGTGTGTAAAGTGAACAATTAGAACAAGTGTTAAATTTAAGTGTGTACATAGTGTTAAAATTAAAGTTGCAGTAATTCTAGTGTACAATAGTTTTCATGAACTGTATTGTAGTACTCAACATACAGCAGAACTACAGTACTTTTAATCACACAGTGTTAACAGCATAATGCACTGCAGTACGTATTTACTGTAGAGCATTCACAACTTCACGAAACTTCAAGATGGACATAAAGTAACTCCAACAATAAGGTAAATAAATGAATTACAGTATTTTTTAGTAGAGTAGTAAAATATAGGTAAGGTATGTAATATGATAATGCAATTTTATTGTGTACAAGAAAAAAAAAAGACACTGATGCAAAAGCCTCTTGAAGGTACCTCTTGCAACGAATCCAACGCTCCAACGAACTGGAGTTGGTCCCATATAGTACGTTGAATCGAGGTTGTACTATACCTTTATTCATTGTTGATAACTTCAACTTCAATTATCTCTGAAACTAGAGCTTCAACTTTGAGTGGCTTCTATAATACCAGTTTTTGACCGATTCTCACTATTTTGACATATTGTGTGCTGAGCTATCTGTTCTACAATCCCTTCAGAATGGATTTTTCATAAACTTTATACATTTGGAGTTATAGTTTTTTTTTTGGTCTAAATTTGCCGCATATTTCAAATGCCCTATTGACGATTTTTTTTACAGTAAACTATACTGAAAACCTATATTCTAATTTGATGAAAATGAAACTCTTATGCTATTCTGAGAGAATAATAACATTTAATGAACAATTGGTGATAGTTCATATTTTTTTATTCTGAATTGAAAATCTGAAGTTTTGAATATTCAGTTTTAAAATTAATTTTGATTCTTTTGTTTTTCAAGTTATGCTGTGATCATTTAGACAAAGTTGGAGCATTTGCCTAGTTGATTATGCAAAAAAAATTGGAAAGTGTTTGAGCAAGTTTTAAAACTTATGTTTAATTATTTTTTGTCAAATTATATATGTATGTATTGCACGGTCTAATGGTTAAGGTCTTGGCCAGTGGTATGCATTACACCTTTTGACACTCTTGGGTATATCGTAAGATCCAAAACTCCTAAGCATACTCTGGGCTCACATTTGTAATACTGTACAGTATATTACACATTATCTGTCTAACATAATTCATTATGGTAAGTGTCAAATATTAAAATTGTAAATTGCTACACGAGCTGTAATTTTGGCTTACCTTAAACATCCTGGCCTTGCTCCCTCGAAGGATGAACAGGCATCAAACAGATTACGGTTGAGGTGTAGGCTTATATCAGCCTGAAGGCACTCGGGAAACATATTCATCACCGCACCCATGTCTATGCCGTTCGTGTATGACCAAGCGTGCTTTCAGGTTAAAATTGAAAGGGGAAAAGTCTATTTCAGTATTATTATTTACCAAACACCTACCGTAAGCATCCCGGACTGGCACCTTCAAAAGCCGGACAAGAATCAACAAGCTGTCGGTTGAGATGAAGGCAGATGTCTGCCTGCAAGCAATCTGGGAAGCCCTTCAACACCATATTCATGTCGATGCCGTTTGTGTAGGTCCAGGCGTGCTGGGGAGATAAAGGGCCGGGGTGACACAAGCAGTGCTGGGTTAAGAAGTAGGAGGAAGAGAAAAAGACGAGAGGACACAAAGATGGAGAAAGGAAGGGGATGAGAAAGAAAGGGAAAGCTGAAGGGATAAGGGAAAATTGTGTGAAGTGAAAGTGATAAGGAAATGAAAGGAAAGGGGGGGGCAGGAGAGATATTAAGAGGAAGTAAAGGGATAGGAAGAGATAGGCAGACACAGAAAGAAGGTGAGGAAAACTAATTTAAGAGTGATGAGAGAAGGAAGGAGCTGAGGAAAACTAATTTGAGAGTGATGAGGGAAGGAAAGAGGTAAAAGGAAGATCAAGAATGGCAACAGACAGGAGAAGAACAGTAAGTTTGGTGAAAATGAGAAGAGAAAAATGGGGGCAATAAGATCAAGAAAATTGTAGAGTGAGGAGGAGAGAGGGTTAGAGAGAGATGGGACAACAAAAATAGAAAATAAAGAGAAGTGGAAGGTGAGAAAAAGGAAGGAAAATGTAAAAGGATGTTAAGATAAAGAGAAGGAAGAAGCAGAGAGGTGGAGTTAAAGCAAGGAAGTCAGATGCAATTGGAAACAAAGGAGTATTAAACGAGTAGATAGGAAACAAGATATAGAAAATGAGAATGAAAGCAAAGAGGAAAGGCAGTAAAATAAATTTTAGTAAAAAGATGAAAAGAGAAAATATAAGGGAAGATGAGGCGAGAAAGAGAGAGAGAATTAAATGAGAGAAGTTAGTGGTAAAGGTGAAGAGACAAAAATGAGAAGAGGAAGAGAGACACAACAACGGAATATTAGAGGAGAGAGAGAGATACAGAGAAAACTATGATGAAATAAATGTTTAATGGTGAAAAGATAAATCATATTGATAATGCATTCTGATGAAACAAAAAGGGTGTGGTGATATTCGACGAAAAACTTTGAAATAGATTTAACCCTAATAAATATAAAATGCTGCTTTGCTGTTTACATGCACTACCTGTTGCAGCAAAGGACATAGATAGTTTTGTCGAGTTTGTGTACCTAAATTTAGCTTCACTGTTCTGGCTCCTCATGTAGCAAAATAACTAGCATTGAATGTAATGAAACGCCATTTTCTGGGTGAGCCCCGGAGGCTCCCTAGAGCTTATCAGGCTAATGTATGTTATATTAGACCAGGACTTTAGCTAAGGAGATCAGACCTACCAGGGACCAATGCCAAAACCTGGCCCCTTCAGAGAAATTTCAGGTAGCAATGGCCCTGGAAAACCCCCTTGTGGTTGGGGTTTTTCTTATCTGCCATCGACCGGGTTTAGGCACCCAGAAAGGTAGGCATAACAAAACAAACCCCACATGGTAAACAACTAAAACAAAAAACTGAACAGAGAGGTAGAAACTCCTTACAATCCCAAGGAAACAAGCAAACAAGCAAACATCACACTTTACTGCCGTGACGATAGTCCGTACAGCCCTCCCCGCCCCGAGAGGGGGAGAGTGAAGCCCCGGACCTCACCGCGCCGGCTGCCTAGCATCAGTTCGGAAGCTAAGCTTCAACTCGCGCAAAAAAAAAAAAACGCCGACTGGTGGGAGAGAGGGTTGCCAGGGAGTCTCTGGGGTTCACCCAGAAAATGGCGTTTCATTACATTCAATGCCGGTTTTCTGTGGGGAGCCCCTATGGCTCCCTAGAGCTTCATACCCAAAGAGAAGGAAAAGAAAGGGCTGACCCGGGAGGCGGCCACCACAAACTCCGCAACGCGAAGCCGAGACAACAGGCTGCAACCTGCGACCCAAGGCAATAAGAAACGCACAGGAGCAGACGCGCGCATAAAGAATGGGCGGCAAGGAACCTGTGCGACCCTCAAATCCTCGAGCTCGAAATGAGCCCTAGACGTCACCATCACAGCAGCAAAGGCTGCAAACGTCCGAACAGCACGGGCGCAAGGATAGACCGCAGGCTGGAAGACCTAAAAACTCTGCAGACAACCTGGGAGACCCGAACCCTGAAACAGGGAACGAGGGGAACTGGATCAACCCAAAGCGCATCCCCAGATACGGCACGCAGGTAACTGCAAAAAAACGCAACCGGACAACACAGGATGCACCCCCGGCCAAACCAATCAAGCATCAAAAACCCAAGGACCTCCGGTAAGCAGCCATCTCGACCGTTGCCAGAAGGACATAGAAAGGCTACAAACGTACAAACCTACCACCAGTACCAAAGGGCAGAAACCTGAACCGAAGGGGCTACAAACTGAAGAGAAAGATAAGAGGGCACCCTGACCAAGGATCAGGACGACTCAGGCGATGCATGAGCAGGCCGGAGGTGAAACAAAACACAAGAAAGAGTATGGAACGAGGCAGACGAGACGTTCACCCCGAACGTAAGCCAGAGCGGCTCCGCCAGCGCCTCACAAAAGGAGGCGACACTAAAAAATACCACACAAGACCGCTGAGGACTCGGAACGTTTACGGGAGAATGGACGGCTAGGACCTTATCCGACCTCCAAGACCCCTGGGTCTGAATAGCAGCCCAGGACTTGTTACTAGCAACAACAACAAATTTTTATTCAGGTAAAGTACATACATACATACATACAAGGTAAGATACAAAAGTTGATGGATTTATAGATAGAGCTAGTACATACAATGCCTAAAGCCACTATTACGCAAAGCGTTTCGGGCAGGAAAAACACTAAGACTAAAACGTAATACTAATTGAGATTAAAGTATATATTTTGTTGAGAAAAAATAAGAAAAAATGTAAAAAAAAGGGGGGGGAACATGGCTGAAAAAAAAGCAAAAATACAATTTGGTCAACAAAACAGCATTGTTTAAAATAGAAGACATGGGTTGACATTTTGGGGGTGAGGTAGGTTACATTGAGTTAATTAGGTAGTACTTAGTTTTTATCTTAAACTAGTTGGGAGAGGTACAGTCTTTAACATAATTGGGAAGGTCATTCCACATTTGAGGTCCCTTTATTTGTAAAGCATTTCTAGTTTGCTAAAGACAGTGGCAAGAGCCGCAAACTTCCAAACATCATGGGCACGAGGGTAGCTCGCAGACTAGCTAGACTTGATAACCCTGCGGATGACCTGAGAGACCCCAACAGGCAATGAGAGGGAAATCGGATCAACCCAAAGTACATCCCCTGGACACAGAAGCCGAGGCACGCAGGTAACGGCAGAGAGCCGCAACCGGACAAAACATGATGCACCCCTGGCCTTACCAACCAAGTATCAATAACCCATGGACCCCTCCAGAAGCCCACTGTCTCATTCTTCGCCAGAAATGAAGGAGATGGCTGCAAATGAACAAAGCGCCTCCCCAGGACCGAAAGATCAGAAACCCATGCATCGGAGGAGAGCATGAAGGTCACCAAACTGACCCCCCACAGGCCAAAGCCAACAGGTACAAAGCCTTCTGAAAGCAATCTAGGACTGAAGGGGCCATCACAAACTGAGGGGGAAGAAAAAAAGAGAGAGCACCCAGTTCAAAGATTAGGATGGCTCAGGTGGTGCATGAGCAGGCCGGAAGTGGAAAAACGCACGAGAAAGCTTATGAAGAGAAGAACAGAACAGAAGTGACATCTACCCCGAACCCAAGCCGAAGTCGCTCAGCCAGCGCTGCCCTATAGGAGGCAACAATATTCAGCATCAGATGCTGGTCCTAAAAAAGCCCAGAAAGGAAAGACAAAACAACACAATCAGACACAGAAGACAACCTACGAAGAGAAAGGAAACAGTGAAAAGAACACCAAGAGACTTCATACTGTTGCCACAAAGAAGACTGCAGATGGGACACTATGAGAGAAGCCACCTGGTCACCATAAAAAGGGTGATACCCATGTTAGAAATAAGAGACGTGAAATGCGGAAGAGGAGATTGAACTAGCAAGGTATCGTACCAGCCTGATCTGCTGGAAGAGGCGGAGCAGCGGAAAACACCCTGGGTTCAGACATGGAGCAAGCAGCACCTGAAACCAAGGCTGGGCCAGCCACCATGGGGCCAGAAGGAGAACTCACCTGTGATAGGATTCCAGCCGAGCCTGGAGTCCTATCAACCGTGCAATCAAAAGCATCACCCGCACCATCTTCGCAGTGGGGGAAGGGTGCCACATACACTGGGAGACGCCACAACCATGCCAATGTGAAGAGGTCCACCACCGAGGACCCTAACGTCTGGCAAAGCCAACTGAAGGAGTCGGCATCGACCGTCCATTCCGTGGATAGAAGAATGAACCTTGACATGCCGTCTGTTAAGATGTTGGACACTCCTCTGAAGTGAATCGCATGGAGAGTTAAACCCCGAGAACTCAGCAGAAGTCACTCAAAGCGATGAGCCCCTAAAAGAAAAGGACCAAAGAGACCTGCCAAGATTCAGGCAATGACCCACCGTGGGGCACAGTCCGAATGGACCCGGATCTTAGAGCCTCGAGCAAGCAGAATCTGTCACAGTCAAAGCCACACCGCTGCAAACTCCCGCACTGTGCTGTGAGCACGATGGAATGATAAACCACCCCCCCCCCCACCCGCTTGGAGAGCACTGGTTACAAAGCCCCAGCCGAGAGACGAGGCGTCCGTGAACATATTGAGTGAGAGTTCTGGAAGGCGGCAAGGCACTGAACCCAAAAAAAAACAAAGAGGACGCCAGAGACACACCAACCGATGCAAGGCCCCCAGAGGAAGAACCCAGCGATCGTGAGAGCAGTGAAAGGGATAGCCCCCCCCCCCAAAAAAAAAAAAAAAAGATGCTGAAGCCAAACCCTACCCAGTGGGTAAACCAGCATGGCAAAGTTCAAACTCCTGCATAGCTGCTCGAGCAACTGCCGAGTAACCCAGGACCCCCTCAAGAACAGCCAAAGGTGGGAATGCAGCCGGAGCAATGCCGCAGGGGAAAGAGATACAGATGCCATCCGAGAATCTCAAACAGGCCCATCCAAGTCTGTACCCTGGATGAAACCACCTTCACCAACCTACCAGGAATCCAAACTCGGCAAACTGAGAAA